AAATGTTTAAATCTTTTAATAGGTTCTTATGAATCAAACACTGATATTCTGCCTGTAGTGTGAGATTGATACCAGGTAAGCGATTCAGGCCCATTGGGCCTCTTGTTTTGGCAGTGACATAGTTCCCTCACAAACTACATACAATACATGAATCATTACATCCCCACTACTACTGCCATGCCCACTACACCTCAACTGCATAAAATATAGATCCTGCAAAATTGACCGTTTTAGCAAATCTGCAAAAATAATGGACCAGAAAAGAAGAAACTTGAGCAGTATTCTCACAGTTTTAATGATACACAGATACAAGCTTGTGTGGACTTGTATGTTGGAACATAAACCCCTTATGCCCGTATTTAAGCAGTAAACTGCATAGATGTGGCAGACATACTGGTATAACTGCCACATGTGTCACATACAAACTTATCATGGTGCAGGTCTGACACATCTATGCATTTTCGTAAAAAACATATGTCTTTTCCAACTTTCAAATTTCCTGCTTATTACTGTCAGTCAGGTCATGCAGGTCAATATCTAGAACGATACAAAAACAACAGCTGACGTCAGGCACCATTTCCTATACAAAATTGAAAAGACTAAAAATGCAACTTTCATTATGAATTCATTTGTTTTTAATATATATTAAACTGTAAAATCATGAATTTTCATGGCATTAATTTTCGTTTATTTCGTGGATAACAAATAATCCACGAAATTAAATCCCGGCGAAAACAAATTTGGTATGATATAGATAGGGGAAAATCAGAAATCAGCGTAATATAATGTCCTTGAAATATGATAGTACCGGTATATGACAACCACGAAATTTTAACCCCGTGAAAATAAATGATACTACAGTATATATAGAATATTCTCTATAAACAAACTATAAACAAATAACATTTTGTAAACTACTTTATCAGCGTCATAAAACATTTTTATCGATCGTTTTTTGCGGCCTTTATTCGGCATACGTTTACATTGTGCAAGTCAGATGTATTTATACGCCCTGCACAGACCAACTTCAGTTATAGTCTCATAACATAAAGCTGCTATTGGCAGGAATTTAGTAGTAATAGTTTTGTAATTGATCAATTATGATTAGAAAATAATCAGCTGTATGGTATGTATATGTTTCCTTGTAGATTTTTTTTCCTCGGGATTATAAGCATAGTTTATTGAGGGGAAACAGATATTCATGTTTCCCTACAACCAGAGTTAGAAAATATTATAAAGGGAATAATTTGACCTGTTATTTCTGAAACAAGAGGTCCCAGAGGGATCTTGGTGCCCACCATTGTACCATCTTCATTAGTTCTTCGTCAGTTCGATCTTTTCTCTTCTTTCCTCTAATCTGTTTGATCGAGTCATGTTAACAGTAAATGCACCCTGAGATAACTTTTGATCTAAACTTAATACTGATGTGTATGAAAGTGAGTTTGTCATTTCACATATTTACTAGTACAGTACTTAATGTGGAAAAATAGATCATTGCAACATGAAAGATCTGTTTAGTTCTTCCTTTAGCCATTTTGTTTTTAGCTCACCTGGCCCAAAGGGCCAAGTGAGCTTATGGCATGGTGCGGCATCAACTTTTTACTTTAAACAACTTCTTCTGAATAACCAAAAGGCACAGGGTACTGATATTGAGCCTGTAGCATGCTGGGATGAAGGGCTACCAAGTTTGTTCAAATAAATGACCTTGGCCAACTGTCAAGGTCACAAGGGTCAAATCTCTTTAAATCTTCAAACGACTTCTTTTCAATAACCAAAAGGCCCAGGGTATTGAAATTGGGCCTGTAGCATGATTAGATGAAGGGCTACCAAGGTTGTTCAAATGAATGACCTTGACACTCTTTCAAGGTCACAGGGGTCAAATGTGTTAAAATCTTCAAACGACTTCTCAAAAACCAAAAGGCCTAGGGTACTGATATTTGGCCATTAACATGCTGGAATGAAGGACTGCCAAGTTTGTCCAAGTGAATGACCTTGACCCACTTTCAAGATCACGGGTAAAATGTCTTAAAATCTTCAAACGATTCCTTTTCAATAACCAAAAGGGCCAGGGTACTGATATTGGGCATGTAGCATGCTGGGATGAAGGGCTACCAAGTTTGTTCAAATGAATGACCTTGACCCACTTTCAAGGTGATAGGGGCAAAATGTCTTAAAATCTTCAAACCACTTCTCAATAACCAAAAGGTCCAGGGTACTGATATTGGGCCTGTAGCATGCTGGGTTGAAGGACTACCAAGTTTGTTCAAATGAATGACCTTGACCCACTTTCAACCGAATGTCCTTGTTAGACATTCAAGGTCACAGACGTCATATGTTTAAATCTTTTAATGGGTTCTTATGAATCAATTTTTTTTTGCCTGTAGCTGTATTTTAGTCCACTTTTAGGATTAAAAGTGTGAGATTAATACCAATTGAGCGATGCCGGCCCATTGGGCCTCTTGTTTTGAAATAGGGGGAAATATGCGCTGTAGGTGCATGATCCGTCCTGGTGCATTGATATATATATAGATGTGTATGTTTATANTCACCAGGTAAGTACACACATGTAACATAGAGTTCTACGTCAGCTTTACCAGGTAAGTACACACAAGTAACATAGAGTTCTACGTCAGCTTCACCAGGTAAGTACACTAAAGTAACATAGAATTCTACGTCAGCTTCACCAGGTAAGTACACACATGTAACATAGAGTTCTACGTCAGCTTCACCAGGTAAGTACACACAAGTAACAGAATTCCAGGTTGCCTAAAGTTACAATCTTAGCACAGATGAAGTCAAGTAAACTTGTACGTTAATTCTCATTTCTAGGACGCCAAGTTCATCCCAGGCAGGAGAGTCACTCAGTAATGAGTTTACCGCAAAACTTGATCCACTGACACAGAACAAGTTAGCGGAGATCGTGGAGAAAATGCATGGTGATAAAGTGTGAGTAATAAAACCTCCATGCTTATGTTATGGTCATGTTGGTTGAGAGGTTGGAGCGAAATCAGAATACATCTTTTAACAAGTTCCTGTGAAATAGGGCTTGATAGGTTAATCTACCAACTTAAAATTACAACATTTTATGTGTTGATTAGATTTTGAATACAAACTTGTCAATGTCAGTCACCTATTTTCATTGTTGTCATTTTGTTACGTGAATTAACATATTGAATAACTTATTCAATTGCTCATGTGATTAAGATGTTGTGAGCACTATTCTAAACTTAACTTTTAGTATTTAAATGTAAAGATTGACAGATTTTTTTTTATAATTTTCACACCAGTATAAAACAGTAGGAACATTAAAGCAGTACGATGAATACAATAAGGATTGATCACTTTCTCTAAATTCAAAATTTCCCTTTGCTGTCAGAGAGACAAGGTCAATAATTAGAACAGGGACAGAGGAACTTTACTGACGTCACCTGTTGTTTCCCACACAAAATCTAAATGTTAAACAAATCAAGCTATCATATCTGATTCATTTGTTTATTTTTTTTTTATTGAAATGAACAGAATAATCCAATTTTATAAGTGTTGATATAGGTGCCAGGGAACATTTTGATAAGTGTTGATATAGGTATAGCCAGGAAACATTTTGAGTAATGTTTTTTTAAAGAACTATATTCTGAGTATGTAGTCACACAATCGTAGCAGTAGTGGTTAGGATATATGTATTCATACACTGATATAGTAAGAATTGCCTTGAAATAAAAATATAACACTACATACCAGTTGGGCATTACAAATGCAAAAATATTTACAATGTTTTGATGTATCTGACATGTTCTTTTAATTATACTCTCACCAACAAATAAGACGGTTTATTGACGAATAAGACAGTGGATATTGGAATCAGATTCTGTGTATTATGTCCTCTCTTGGCCAGAACTCTGCTCCTCAGTCTTACTTCATAGCATTGCTGTCCATTGTTCGAGAGCATGTCATGACCTTGGCTGAAGGTCATATCTCAGAAGGTCAAGGTCAAGGAGCCATCTAAACTATTAGTTCAGTACCTGACTCTGGTCACCATCATACTTCATAGCATTGTTGCCCATAAGTAAATAGCACATCGAAACCTTTATACCTGTCATGCAAATTGAATAAATATATACTAGAATCTCTTTTCAGTAAGGGACGGTATTTTACTAGAACCACTTTGTCAGACGATCTGTCCTTCCTTCTGTCCGTCCTTCTGTCCTTCCTTCTATCCTTCCTTCTGTCCTTCCTTCTGTCCGTCCTTCTGTCCGTCCTTCTGTCCTTCCCTCTGTCCGTCTGTAGACGAGTCTGTTGAAGCTTGGTACACATTGGTTTACTGGAGACATTCTCCTTCTATCCTTTCCTCTGGCCGTCTGTAGACGAGTGTTGAAGCTTGGTATACATTGTTTTACTGGTGACATTCTCCTTCTATCCTGTCCTCTGTCCGTCTGTAAACGAGTCTGTTGAAGCTTGGTATACATTGTTTTACTGGTGACATTCTCCTTCTATCCTGTCCTCTGTCCGTCTGTAAACGAGTCTGTTGAAGCCTGGTACACATTGTTTTACTGGTGACATTCTCCTTCTATCCTTTCCTCTGTACGTCTGTAGACGAGTCTGTTGAAACTTGGTACACATTGTTTTACTGGAGACATTCTCCTTCTAGTCTGATTACATTTACATTATTTCCAGAATTATGCGCATAATATCTGTAACCTGTTACACATTGTAAAATCAGGGTGACCAATTCAGGCCTGTGGGTCCTGTTGAATTACGCTATAGGAATATATGACAGGAGCTGATCTGAATCCATGTTAGAACTAGATCATGAATCCTTTAAGAAATGTTTTAGGTCTTGCTGTAAAACTCAGATTGGTTGATGAGATTTTCTAATTGGTTGTTTCAGGGAAGTGAGCGAGTTATTCCCACGATTTATACATCTGCCGAGTAAGGGCCGAGCTGCCGAGGTCCGGGAACTCTTGTTTGGTAAAACATAGCCACTCATTAGCTTAAAATCACACAGCTACAATCTGAAAAATCAGATTTTTGTCTTTTCTTTTGATATGAAGTATTTTTCTTGTAGGCAAATGTAAAATAAAATGAATGTAGTAACATTTTACCAGGTGACAATCATGATAACAGAACTGTTAAAGTTAAATGTATTGTAATGTAAGAGGAAACATTATATTGCCAGCCATATCTGTACTCGGGACTCACTTTCAAAGAAAACAAAACAATAATTAAATCACTTTAAAGGACTCATTATACAAATGCTTTGGTGACCAGGTTCCTCAATCCAGTACAGCAATGTTTCGCTGAGTCTGCGTAACGACACAATCTCCGAGTGGTGGCAGGCCCAGGAGGTCGTTTACGGGGACAATATATTCAGTCCAAGCGAGGACGGAACTAAAAGGAAGCTACTTGATACCCTGACGCTCATCACCTTCAACGACCGCGTCGCACCCGAGGGATTCTCTTTCATCACTGGATACGGGTAGGTAATCTTAGTGGTGGAAGGTCAGATATAGGGGAAGGTAATCTTAGTGATGGAGGGTCAGATACAGGTGGGTAATCTTAGTGATGGAGGGTCAGATAGGGGTAGGTAATCATAGCGATGGAAGGTTAGATAGGGGTAGGTAATCTTAGTGATGGAGGGTCAGATAGGGGTAGGTAATCATAGTGATGGAAGGTTAGATAGGGGTAGGTAATCATAGTGATGGAGGGTCAGATACAATATATACAGATATATAGATAATCATAGTGATGGAGGGTAATCGTAGTGGTGGAGGGTCAGATACGGGTATGTAATCGTAGTGGTAGAGGGTCAGATATGGGTAGGGAATCGTAGTGGTAGAGGGGCAGATAGGGGTAGGTAATCGTAGTGGTGGAGGGTTAGATACGGGTAGGAAATCGTAGTGGTAGAGGGTCAGATAGGGGTAGGTAATCGTAGTGATGGAGGGTTAGATACGGGTGGGTAATCTTAGTGATGGAGGGTCAGATACAGGTGGGTAATCTTAGTGATGGGGGGTCAGATAGGGGTAGGTAATCTTAGTGCTGGAGGGTCAGATAGGGGTAGGTAATCGTAGTGGTGGAGGGTCAGATACGGGTAGGTAATCTTAGTGATGGAGGGTTAGATAGGGGTAGGTAATCTTAGTGGTGGAAGGTTAGATAGGGGTAGGGAATCTTAGTGGTGGAAGGTTAGATAGGGGTAGGTAACTGAGTGGTAGAGGGTCAGATAGGGGTAGGTAATCGTAGTGGTGGAGGGTTAGATACGGGTAGGAAATCGTAGTGGTAGAGGGTCAGATATGGGTAGGTAAGCGTAGTGGTAGAGGGTCAGATAGGGGTAGGTAATCGTAGTGGTGGAGGGTTAGATACGGGTAGGAAATCGTAGTGGTAGAGGGTCAGATATGGGTAGGTAATCGTAGTGGTAGAGGGTCAGATACGGGTAGGTAATCTTAGTGATGGAGGGTCAGATACAGGGGGGTAATCTTAGTGATGGAGGGTCAGATACAGGTTGGTAATCTTAGTGATGGAGGGTTAGATAGGGGTAGGTAATCTTAGTGGTAGAGGGTCAGATACTATATATACATATCTATAGTTAATCATAGTGATGGAGGGTCAGATACTATATATACAGATATATAGATAATCATAGTGATGGAGGGTCAGATACTATATATACAGATATATAGGTAACCATAGTGATGGAGGGTCAGATAGGGGTAGGTAACCATAGTGATGGAGGGTCAGATACCAGTTAATGTACTATATAGAGGTTTCACATTAAGTGTCTTTACACAGACTATCACTGATATCTGTAGAATTTACGGGGTAGGACAGTAAAGTCATTGATACTCACAGCAGCTGCAGACATTTTTCCTGACTTACATGTAACTTTTATTTGTTATCTTGAAAAACATGTCATTTTCTGACAATTTTTCCAGCGCCCTGGGTGCTTATTACAGTAGCTTATATATTTTTATCAATTTATCTAAAGGACTGTATTTATCTTTTATTGCATGAAATCATTTTATTGAATCATAATCGCTGGTGCCCTGCCTAACTACATTACTGGTAAACCTATGATTGGTTACGATCGAAAATCAATGGAATAGGCTGACTAAAGATACTTCAGTACCAGAGTGTCCCCATCAACAGTCGCTGGACAAGGATAGCATTATTATAAAACCTTGCACCCCCGTTATTATAAAAGTAATTTGTTCAGTAACTAATTATAAGTAATGAATACTCCATCCTTAAAAAATTCAAAAATGGTTACAGTGAGGAACAGACAGAAATCTAAACAGATCATTAACCAATCATGGGCTTATTGCGGGAGCGCAATTCTTTCCATTTGATCCATTGAAGTTTTCACTTACATTGTACGTTGGATCTCACTTATTGTATTTGAAGATATCCCTGTTTATATAATATAGGATACTTTCCCCTGGGACAAAGTAGGATGTTACAATGAGTTGGATCCACTGTACAGTGTATTGTTCCTTTTATTGTTTTGTGGCTTTGTTTGCGATTGCCTTATAATTGTGAGAGTTATCTCCCCTTAGAGTAGGATTTTGGTGTCCATGCAGTTTTTTTCAAAGCCTGACAAGATTTAAAAGCCCTAAATGTATTTTTTTTTTTAAATGGGTAAGAAATTACTAATGTTTTCATTTTTTAAGGTAATTTATTGTTTAATTTATTTATTATTAATGTAGGATTAATTTTGAATTTAATATTTGTTTTAATTTTTTGAAATATTCTGTCTTTAACATGTGTATACATGTATTATGTAAGGAAAATTAGCCAGGCTTTGACAAATTGGACTAGTGTTGTTTTATAACTCTTAATTTGTTAATTGCATGTAAATCTTCCTCATTTCATTACAAGGTGATTGAATTACATTAAATATAAAAGTTATGAAATATTCTCAAACTCAACACCTCACAATGTTTTTATATATGCATTCATTTGTACATAGCTTTGTATATCTTTCATTTTTATCCATATCATGTATGTTTTTTATGCTATGTATACACATTTAATTCCATGTGTATCACTTTTATATGGTTGTATTGTATATTTTTTTCTTTACTTTTAACAAATTAATCTTTCTTGCTAACACCTTAGTGTTCAAAATATTCCTGGCTTTGTAGCATTTTCATTATGTTTTTTTTTATCAAATTTTAATAACAAATTGTTTTGTATCAGGATTCAATATAATCATAACCAGAAAACAGCAGAAACTAAATTTAATTCTTGTGAAAACTTAATGATAAAGTTAAATATGACATGATGCTACTGAACTAGGAACACTTACATCACTAAGGAGTTGTGATCTCATTGTTACCATGGTTACATCACTAAGGAGTTGTGATCTCATTGTTACCATGGTTACATCACTAAGGAGTTGTGATCTCATTGTTACCATGGTTACCATCTGGGAATCGGATCCCAATGTTTTGGGTGTCTGTATCATTTCTTTTGATGGTTTCTGTTGTATATGTAATCTTTAACTTAACACTGTGACCTTCACCTTGGTGTTTTGTTAAAGTTAAATTATTTGTTTTATACAACCTTCACCTTGGTGTTTTGTTAAATTATTTGTTTTATACAACCTTCGCCTTGGTGTTGTGTGACGTTCACCTTGGTGTTGTGTGACCCTCCCCTTGGTGTTTTGGGATCTTCACCTGGTGTTGTGTGACCTTCACCTTGGTGTTTTGTGAGATGACCTAACCTTGGTTGTGTTTGACCTTTCACCTTGGTGTTTGGTGAGATGACCTAACCTTGGTTGTGTTTGACCTTTCACCTTGGTGTTTTGTGAGATGACATAACCTTGGCTATGTTTGACCTTTCACCTTGGTGTTTTGTGAGATGACCTAACCTTGGTTGTGTTTGACCTTTCACCTTGGTGTT